TTTTTTCCAGGTGTGTATATATATATATCAGGGTCCTGGTGGTTAGGGTGTTCGACTCTCAATCTGTGGATCGAGCATGTTCGTTGACGGGATTAAAGCCCATCGCCGAACATGCTCGCACTTTCAAACATCGGAGCGTTGTAATGCTATGGTTAAACCCATTATTTATTTATAAAGAGTAGCTCAAGAATTGGCAGCGAGTGGTGTTGACTGGCTACCTTCCCTTTACTCTATCACTTAAAAATTATGGATGGCGTGAAATTCAACAAACAAAGATTTCTCATTCATGACATGTACTTTAAACTTTAACATAATAATAATATATATACAGGGAGAAAGAGAGAATTTCTGTCCTATGTAAAATGGAAAGTGATGACAGATTAGGAAACATTTAGAGCTTAGCATGTTAATAACGTAATGTTGTGTAATTATCCCCTGGAGATACGAGCCAACCAGAATCAACATGACGTGAAATGATTTAACGATTAAATTTGTCCTAAACCAATTGAATGAGTTTTATTTTAGCAAAATTTTGAAACCTTACGATATTTGAGTTAATGATGACAAATAAAATCATTGAGTTAAACATACAAATGGAAAATGAATTTCAAAGAAGGGAAAAGACAGAGTCAAACGTGGAGTGGAGAAAAATGTGTAATAAGCATACAAAATGCTGACTGAGTTAGAGATAGAGCCAAATCTAGATGAGAATAGGGTTATGCAAGGCGTTGTATATTACCATGTAAGCAGCATTAATATAGATGGAAATAATTTTAAACTATTAGTAATACTTCTTACATAGAGTTTATTAATGATAAAGATAAGTAGATTCGATATATTTTCGAAAATGCTATATCTATAGAGAGAGAATATGTTTCATTTTAAGCTAAACGCATTTATTAGAATTTTATAAATGTGTATTACATACAAATGTTTTGATACTTACAACGTTTTGAGATGATAAAGACCTGTGAAGACGTTTGGGGACAGGGTTGTGATGCTATTACTGCCCAAGTTTCTGGAAAGAAATCAAATGAAATGAAATATTGAATCCGCATTTTGTACTAGGCCTGATTATTAGAATAACAATGAAAAAGGTAAGATTCATTTGTGTTTTTCTTGCTCAATCTACGATTTTTATTTGAAATTATTTATGTTTCCTTTTCCTAATGTCAGAGTATAGTGGTATATTATTTATGTGCTTCCCTTGTCTAATGTTAGAATATAGTGGTATATTATTTATGTGCTTCCCTTGTATAATGTCAGAGTATAGTGGTATACTATCTATGTACACCCCTTGTCTAATTTCAGAATATATTGGTATATTATCTATGCTCTTCCTTGTCTAATGTTAGAATATAGTGGTATATTATTTATGTGCTTCCCTTGTATAATGTTAGAGTATAGTTGTATATTATCTATGTACTTCCCTTATCTAATGTCAGAGTATAGTGGTATATTATCTATGTACTTCCCTTGTCTAATGTCAGAATATATTGGTATATTATCTATGCTCTTCCCTTGTCTAATGTCAGAGTATAGTGGTATATTATTTATGTGGTTCCCTTGTCAGAGTATAGTGGTATATTATACTGTACTTAGCTCAATTAATATAGTACTCACGTCATTCTTCGGAGAAGATGAAAGAAAAGAAAAACCTTGCCATTTGTTCTCTAAATATTTTTTCTATTGTAAAGTCCTGTGGAGTCCTTGTGTGTATCGTCGTCACTTAATCACATTCTCCAATCAACGTATTTTTCTCACTCCTGACGGCACGATGTTTCCGTGTTTAATTATTTAGGTAATTAGTATACTAAATCACGTTCGCCTAACTTTGTTAAAAGTATGTGAGGAGGGGACAAGTGCAAGGAAGAACTGATGAACTGCTGAGCGTAAGAGGCGAGAAAATGTTTAGAAGAGAAACAAAGTGGGATGGCACGTGCCCTTTCTTCCCCCTGGTTAGGTCTATATGTACTTCAAACTGTCTTTCACTACTTTCCACTTCTCCTTCTCAACAGTTGTGTGTGTGTGTATAATTCCTGAAATTTTTTATGATATACTTTTCACTCTTGCTCAGACTAAGAAATATAAAGTGAGTATAACATATCACTAAAACTTCCCCTATGCAAGATATTACTCGTGCTACGCTAATGCAAAAATATAACAGTTTATTAAAGGTACAACCCAATCTTATACCATGTTTACTAGGTGGTGTTTAACATTAGGGAATTATAATTATATTTAAGTATTAATAAATGGATAGGATATACTTCAGTCTCTAGTGTGGTAATTTATGAACTCTGAGAAACTGAGTAACGTTGTGTGCAACAATGGTGTTGGTCGTTACATTTCACTCTTGTGATAAGACATTGACCGATCTTGTGTTAAGAATATACGAAGTAATAAAGCTAAGTATTATTCTAAAATCATTAAGCTCCAGTTAACTTCAGATCTACACTTGCTATTAGTTTCTAAGCAGTTGTCTTTTTAAAGATTTTAGGTTCTCGGTTCTTGAATTTGGTCTGTTGACAGAAGAAACTCGAACTCTGCTACAGTTTAGCCCACCTCTTTTACCAGTGGCTTAGAGGAAAGTCAGCAGGCTTATGACGTTAAATATCGTGTTTCGATACCCGTGGTAGGCAGAGCACAGAGAGTCTATTGTGTAGCTTTGTGCTTAACATCAGTCAAACCAAATCAACCACAGTGTGGGGTTACATATATAGGTTTAAAAGTTATTTTAATGTCCATTTGAGAGTGTAAGAAATATAACAAAATAAAGAGGCACGAGCTCAAGATCATTTGAGCGTGTAAGAAATATAAATCACTAGAGAGGCACGAGCTCAAGATCATTTGAGCGTGTAAAAATATAACAAAGTAAAAAAGACACGAGCTCAAGATCATTTTTTTTATCTCAGTAGTCACTAGAAACGTTTTCTCAATACTGAAGTTGCTATTGAGACAATAACGATCCTATTAGAGTAAACAAAGTATTCAACTCAAAACATATAACTTCACAATGTTCAAAATCATTATAGAGACATAAATGAAAAATTATAATTTAATTAAATAAAAATCTCTCTATACACACACACACATATATATATATGCTAATAAAAGATATTGTTTTATTAGTTTAACCTTCTTATTACTAAAATGCATGTACCTAAAATTTTCAATTAAGTTTTTGTTGTTCTTTTTCACACATCGTTTGAGGCATCAATATATCATGCTTGCCATACCACACATATACAAAAACATGCACACATATACCAGAGCAAACTCAAGGATAGTCTTTCTTGAGCTTTTATTGGCAAAGCTGAATCTCATATAGTCGTAGCTTTGTACTTACAGGTCTTTTAAGTGTAGAAGATGACGAAATGCAAAGTCTGGAAGATGACTGATGTTGTTAGTGCTGAGGTCCCTAAGATAATACAAACACATATTTTTTATAAATAGCAGCGAAGGGACTTTCTGTAACAAGAAACTGACAGTGGAGAGACATACATACATATATAACCAAAGCACATATTAATTCCTGCATGTGGATACGATACTAAAATACAAATATCAATTACCTATACTATGTTTTCATCTATTTCTATATATACAAAGCATATTTTACTAAAGTATAATTTTAAAATCTAATATTACACAAAGTTGTATATCTCAAATTTGTAATAAACGTATATTTAAATGTCTTTCTGTACGGTATTGCTTAAATACGTTTATTGTACCTTAGTTACAAAGATAAATTATGAAAATGATACAGGTTGATGTGTCCTATCATGAATACAAGGGAATTCAAACAGCTTCTAATAACAAAGAACGAACTTTAAAAAATTTCTTATAGTGAATTGCGACAGAAACCGTAACTTATAAGTATAGATTTGAATTGTTGGCTCGTAAGTCTAACGCTTTACATAAACTAAAATATTGAGTTTCCACAGGGCAGTTAATGCAGATGAAGTGCGTTGAATAAGATTCTAATATGAAAGTTTATTTCCCTCAAATAGCATATAAAAACAGTAAAGTAATAAGAATATGTATATATTTACAGCACTCAATTTTTTTATCAACTATATTGAATATCATCAAGGAATTGAATAGAGATCGCGGCTGGATGTCTTCTATTACGCAATCTGAGAGTCGTGGGTTCGATTTACCGTCCCACCAAGCATGCTCCTCCTTTCAGCCGTGGGGGCGTTATAATGTCACGTTCAATCCCACTATTAGTTGGTAAAAGAGTTTGCAGCGGGTGGTGATTTATATAAATATCTATCTTTCTTAATACTTACTTGATTTACGCATTATTAAGTCTTATAATGAAAGTTCGTTTTGCAACAGGGCAGGAAACAGTTTTTTGTTTTTAATCGATAAAAACGTCACTTATCACCAACATTATGCTTCCACTGGGGCGTTTCGCTGAAACTTGTAGTTGCTTTCACGATTTTTAATGTGCCAGGTTAATTACTTATACTTGCACATGAAAGAAAAAATGCAATACATTCTGAACACGATTGAAAAAAAACAACAACCTTACTGCTTCTGTTTTTTCAGCCCCCAATCCCAGTGGCTCAGTGACATGTTTAGAGACTTATAACACTAAAAAACTGGGTTTCGATACCGCGGTGGGCAGATAGCCTATCGTGAAGCTTTGTGCTTAACACCAAAACCAAACAACTAAAAAACTTTTTTTCCCCCAAGGATATACATGAACTAAAGAGGATTACTTTCTTTTCGTGAGGGTAGGTCGATGAAGCATTTCATTCATCAGAATTATTTTCTTTTATTCAAAGTAATTGTTTATTTAAATATATTCATCGTTATCTTATTATATGTTATTACAATATTTGTTTTACAAAAATACTACATACCAGAAAATTTAAGAACGATTTTGATCTAGTATTTCACATATTTTATCATTAAAAAAAGGATAATTTATCGGAACAACTAATATATGAAAAAAACATTACGAAATTATTCCAGTGTTTATCCACTACAGTCAATTATGAGTTTTATGGCGGGAATATTCTTTGCTCAATTATTTATATTTAAAGTTAGCAGTTAAGTTCTTAGGTCGTATATGTTCCAGAGAATGTATAATTAATAAAAGTTGTACCTTCCAATGAATGAAGCTTTTATTAATAAACTCAGTTAGGCTATTTAGGCTTACACAGCTCATTAGGTTTACATCAAGTAGTAAAATTATTTATTTTAACTTCAGTTATCCGTATTTTTCTGAAGAATTATAAACATCTAAGACAATTTTAGGAAGAGTAAGATAGTTGTTGCCCCTGTAAACTGATGTGAACTATATAGCTGAGACTATATAGTTTTCGCCCCTGTAAGCTAATTTGACCTATACAATTAAGATAGTTTTCTGCGTTTATAAATTCGAAACTAATATATATATATATATATATAGTTTCGTTGCTAAGCGACACAGAAGAAACTTTAATCCAAACATAATTACCAATGGAAATATTAATCCCCAAGTAATTACCAGTGGAAACTTTAATCCACAAGTAATTGTCAATAGGAACTATGATCCATAAGCAATTAATGATGGAAACTATAATACATAATTAATGACCAATGGAACCATTAATCCATAAGCAATTACCAATAGAAACTTTAATCCATAGATAATTAATTACTAATGGAAACTTTAATCCTTAAGTAATTGCAGAGTGTAAATTTTACTCCATAGGATCAATGGAACCTTGATGTTAGGTTTAGTTTAAAATTTTATTCACTTTCTCCTGCTTTTAGACATGATTACAAGCAAGAACTTCTCCATGAAACAAAACAAAACTCGAGGTTCGGTATTAAGAAAACAAAACTCGAGGTTCAATATTAAGAAAACAAAACTCGAGGTTCAGTATTAAGAAAACAAAACTTGAGGTTCAGTATTCTAAACTATCAAGACTACAGATAATCCAAAACAGTTATGAATTATCATTAATTAGATGAGTTGCTTTAACCACATTCTTTCAAACTTAAGAAAATACATTTTTAACGCTTTTATTTTGTCTAAATATACTACTGTTCAGCTTTTCTCTCTTCTTTTTTTTTTGAGTATTGGAAATGTAAATTGTATTTATTTTATACTACTTTTAACGTTTGTTAACAGACTTTACACAATCATTAATAGGTATTGATTTGATGCCTTGTTTGAATTATTGATTTCCCAACAGTTTGTACAAATGTTATAACGATAGTTCCTTTAATAACCGAAACGGTATCAATGTCAATTTGAGCTTTCCGACGTATCAGCTCCTGATGGCTTAGTAGACGTAAACCTAATCTTTGTCTGTTTAATCTTCCTTAACAGTTAAGATTACGATAAAGCACTGTCATGTCTCCAATTATCTGTAAATCTATTCTTTGTTTATCATGACTTGATTAAGTTTTTTTTTATTATTGTTGCATTTTACGGAAGTCTAATGGGAAACTTTCTCCGTTTTACTTCAACTGAAAGACAGTTGGACAGGAAAACAAAGTAAGCCTAAAGCAGTGCTAGATGAGCGAGTTGTATCGCATCTTAAACAGTCTTAACGCAGTCGCGAGCCGTATCGCTAGGAGAAATACATCCACTGCTCCAATAAGCTTGCCGCCCAGTGGCACAATGATATATTGACGGACTTAAAACGCTAGAAACTGAGTTTCGATACTCATGGTGGGCAGAGCACAGACAGCCCATTGTGTAGCTTTGTGCTGCCCCTTTCAACCGTGGGGGCGTTATAATGTGACGATCAATCCATTGGTAAAAGAGTAGCTCAAGAGTTGGCGGTGGGGGTGATGACTAGCTGCCTTCCCTCTAATTTTTCACTGCTAAATTAGGGACGGCTAACGCAGATAGCCCTCTCGTAGCTTTGCGCGAAATTTAAAACAAACTAACATTCCTTAATGTTACAATAACTTAAAACGCGAAAGGTTATGATTATTGTATACATATTTTTAATTTTCTCACAGGCTAGTTCGGTTACTTTAGAAAGTAAAACTGTTTATAAATGGACAATTCAGTTTTTAAAAATATATTTATTTTTTCAAACTTGAAATAGAAAGACAGTTCTTGAATATTATTTTCGTTGCTTCTCTGCAGATGCCGGTTTTATAGTAACCAAGTCAAAGTTTGCTAACAAATAAATGAACAGGTTTTACATATAAGTACACTAAGACTAAAACGAGTCAGATCTGACAGATACTTTTGAAACAAAACAAACCAAGATAGTTTTGGCACGTGGATTATTATACGAGTGGAAAAAAACCATAGTTTCTCGCTTGGATTAACCGAAAACAAAAATACTAAGAATAAAAATAAATTCTCAAAATTTATTTTCTGTAAAAACGCATTGACCATTTTGATAGTCCCTCAGTGGCACAGCGGTATGTTTGCGGACCTACAACGCTAGAAACCGGGTTTCGAAACCCGTGGTGGGCAGAGCACAGATAGCCCATTGTGTAGCTTTGTGCTTAACTTCAAACAAACAAAACCATTTTGATAGAGTGGAGTTCTAGACTTTACCTTTCAATGACGTATCTTTAACTACATATCAATTTTCCACTGCAGATCTTACAACCAAAAACTCAGGAATATTGAAAACGTGCATGGGCTGAAGAACTCACTATCTAGCTTTAATGAGTAGCAAAAAGTGTATATGATCTAAAACAAAACTGTCCAATTGTCTCAATAAAAATGTAAGTTGGAATTGGTTTGAGTAAAAATCCCATTAATGAAGGGTAATATATGTGGTGTTACACGCAAAATAAAAAAGTGCACGGTAAAAAAAATCATGTTGTCTTTAATACTTACTTACATACATAGAATAAATTTTGAATGTTTAAATCCTTTTAAAAGCTATAAAACAGACATTAGAACCAGTTTTTTAAAAGGATAATAACTTTTAATTAGTTTCAGCATTAAAATATGGATCTGACTAGTAACTTGAATAGAGAGGTTAACTGTATGTAGAAATGTAAATTATATATGTCGAATACCCCATATTTATAGTAATTAAGAAATGAAATAGAATTTCAATCTCCTGTTGTGCAAAATAATCCGAATTCAAATAGTTTTTGTTTATTTCACAAAGTTTGATAATGCTAAAGGAGGTCTAGTTTGTATCATGAACAAATAGACATAAGTTAATTGGGCAAGAGACTCTAGACATTATGTATTCGTTAGCGTATTTTGTATTATAAATCTTACCATAATCTTAATTGTTATATATTTCAATCCTACTGACAGTCCATTAAGTCATAAATGTTTTTGCTAAGAGTATTTAGCACAAAGCTACACTATGCGCTTTGTTCACTGCGAGGAATCGAGCCCCGAATTTTAGCATGTAAGTTCAGAAACCTACGGCTAACTCGCCGGGGGACAAATAACGTTATTAGCAAGAGAAAATGAATTATAAATGTGATCTTGTTTTCTCTAG